AACTACCCACAGCCCCACCCCCCGGGCCAGCCCCCCCCCCGATCAGCCCCCATGGGGTGGGCGGGCCAGACCCCACCTGTGCATGAATTTGTGCACCAGGCCTCTAGTCCTTTATAAGAGGAGTAGCCTATGCTGGAAGCCAAAGGGCAATAAACGAGAACAGAAAATCGCTCGGATTCAGGCCACTCAAAGAGACACTCATTCTTTTAAAATAACATTTTTGTTCCTGATTATTAGCTGAAGTTCAAGGTTATTGAAGTGGAACTTTGGAAAATAAAGATATAACAAAGGAAAGAAAATTCCGCTACCCGGGGATAATGCCCGTTACTATTTTAGCACAGTTCCTTCTATTCTCTCTCCACATCTGAGATGGAACTATACAAACTCCTCTCATTACTCACAGCTTCGAAGGCAGGTTTTAATCATCTCCTTTCCAACCAGGAGGATTTTCCCATGCCCTTTTGTCCTGGAACACAATCGCTGCTGTGGTTGCACCAGGCCGGTTCCTTCCTGTGGTTTGGCCGTCATGCCAGCCTCCACATTGTCGAGCACTTAGCTTGCTTGTAGCTTCCCACCCCCACAGACACTCACCGAGTCCCGGCCACTCATCGGCGCCCATCTCCACATTGTCGAGCACTTAGCTTGCTTGTAGCTTCCACCCCCACAGACACTCACCGAGTCCCAGTCCCGGCCACTCATCGGCGCCCACGTTCCTGACGATGGCCCAAGGACAGACTTTTCAGACACCCGAGTCTTCAGAGAATGAGTTTATTTATTTTAAAGTTAAAAGGAATTAAACGTGAATCTTCTAATTCTGTGTGGATGCCTGCAGAGCTAACTGGAGTCCCCGGGGTGGAGGAGAGGAGGGGATAGAGGAGAACAGGGTTGGGAGTCTCTCTGAAATTCGACGGTTAACGGCCCTGTGGGAGTTGTTGGAAATCGCCCTCAAGAAAGAGGAAGGGGATTTGGTTCTACCTGAAACACCTGTGCACAGTTCACGCTTCCAACACAAACACTGGCGCAATGAAACCACAACCGCCCACCCGCCGGTGCCTCGCACGGAAACAAGGCAGCGAGCTCGCCAGAGATCCTCCCAGGATGGTGGACTCTGTTCCCAGAAAGATATGCTTGCAAAACGTCGGCCTGGAGCTTCCCGACTGTGTCCGCTGTGCCCAGCTCCACGCCCACTGCCTGGAGCCAAGCGCCGGCCCAGCCCCGCCAGCTGGGATCTGGAGTGGGTTGCGTGGCTGATCTTTATCTCGCAGGAATAATGCCAGGTTCCCTGGGATGAAAGGGAAGCGCGGGGGTGAAACTGCTGACGCGGGAGCATGGCGTGGTCCTGCCCCAGCACGCAGCTCCCGGCCCAGGACCCCCAGCTCAGAGCACCTGGGCCTTTCCGACGATGCCCGACTCCAGACACCGTTCTCGCGCCCCGTGCCACCTCCACTCCCACCCCTGGGACACAGCAGCTTAGCACGTGCTCCAAACCCCAGGACCCTCCGCCTGCCTTGGGTGGCCTCCTGGCCTCTCCGATCATTCCTACCCATTTCAGAGGGCCCATGAGAGGATGAAGTGGGCTCGGGCATATGCAGCACCAACAGGCCTGCCAGGGAGTCATTATGTGTGAGTCCCAGGGGGGAGGCTCTGTCCCGTTGGCCGCCCGCAGCATGCCGGGTGCTGAGAGCAGTGGAAGTGTGCGCTGAACGTGTGCGCCCAGCTCACAGCGCCCACAGTCTGAGCACAGGGCTCGGCGTGCCCTGCACGTTGGCCTCCCGCAGGTATGGGTCTCCGGGTCCCTGTTAGAGACCAAAGATGAGCTGCTGTTTGCTGCATGCTCTGAAGAGAGCCTGAATGTCTCCCTTCCCACCCCCTGCAGCAGGCCCGGGTTCCCGGGGTCTAAGCACTTCCCCTGACTCAGCCCTGCACGGACGGATGCCCCGGGAGCCGCACTGGCCTCTGTTCTCTAGAGAGCCCCTCCCCTCGCAGGCGACAAGCATACAGGACCGATGGCATGTAGACAGTGCAGTGGGTCAAGCAGACAGGCATGGGGACAGCCGCATGGCGCGGGGTGAAGGCATGCAATCACTTACCAGACCCTATAATTATGATAAGGAGGACCAAACACAGAGGATTATGGGTGTATTTAATACTGAGGTATGTTTAACACTTTCCACTCAAACCCTGTCACCTTTTAAAGGAAAACTGTGAACTTACGTCCATAAATGTACCTGGTTTATGTCAGAGTTTATGACTGCCATGACAACACACGATCCCTGAGTGAGAATTTTGCTGGAGATGTCTTCAAATTCTTCATTGTCACCATCTTTTAAAAAAAAAAAACTTTTAATGAGTAAGGAATGAAATCTTAAAAAATCAATTAAAAAACAATATTCAAAAAAGGAAGAAAACAACAACAGGTGAGATTACATTTAAAGAATTCCAGGCCTGGCCGGCCCGGCCGGTGGAAGCGCTGCCCTGTGCACGGGAGGCCAAGGGCGTGGTTCCCTGTCAGGGCACAAAACTAGGTTTCGGGCTCAATTCCTGGTTGGGAGGCAACTGACCTGTGATCATCTCTCTCACATCCATGGTTTTCTCTCACTATCTCTCTCTCTCCCTCCCCCCCACCTAAAAAATTCAATAATAACAAAAAACTAATTCTAAGATGTTTTTAAAGTGACATCTGTGAAATACGACATTTTCCCAGGTTGGTTTGAAGCAGTTCCCCACGGGACTGACCTTTCTTCTATCTGTGTTCCAAATGAGATTGAGGTTCTAATTTTCGGAAGGCGCAGTTATCCTGCAGCAGCTCGGACGGGATTCCCGGCCGCCGGAGGTCACGGGCTGTGGCCGCCCCAGCCTCCTGCCCCACGGGAGTTGAGAGGTTGTGCTCTGGGGGCTTTAGAAGTCATTGCGCTGACTTTGGCTGTCACCCTGAGCCAGAAGGAGCCATTCAGGGGTTCCAGCAAGTGACCTGGTCCGATCTAGGTGTCAACAGCGCCCTCTGGTTGCTGTGCTTGGAACAGAAGGCAGAGGGGCCAGGATAGCAGCAGAGAGAAGGGTGGCCTGGGAGAGGTGACAGGACATCAGAGCTGCTCCCTACCTGTGATCTCATCTCACACCTGGGAGCCAGACTAAAGAAATAGCCCCCAAGCCCCACAAAACTCAAACTAGATCTAAAAGGGGTGGGTGAGGTCCAGAAGGGATCAGATGAAAATGCCAGAATTATGACATAAAGAAAACATTGGGGTGCAATATCCACATCCCATAATAGGGGCCTCGCCAGGTAAAGTTGAGGGTGTGGAGCCGGCAAAGGGCAGCCTGTTGATCACTGTGTCCCCCATGCCTGGCGGGGGCTCCATCACTGCGTGTCACCTGGCCAATCACAGAGGCAGTGTGCTCCGTGCCAGGGTAGGTGGGTAGAGCATCCAGACAATATGTCCTCACAAAGGAGAGACCCCTGGGAGGCACAGCAGCTTGGGGTCCCCAGCGAGCAGGCCAGCCTCGGGGAGGCAGGGGCTGGCCGAGTCTGCGCCCCGGTGGGCAGGGGTCTGAGCAGGGGGTCAGCAGTAGGCATCGCCTTTCTACAGGCCTGGCCCCTGGAATTGCAGGGTCTCTCCTCCTTAGCCCTCCTCCTGCTCCCCTCCCACACACACCCTTTCCCAGCCCATCCTGTAAAATTACAGTCAGCAGTTTCATTATGGCTCATACAGAAGAGGTGGGTACAGGGCTCCGGGCTGGCCTACCTCCCAGTGGGCGGGAGGTGTTTCCAATAAATTTCGGCATTTTTAATGAGTTCTTTACAACTGCTAAATGGTTAAACCCAAGATTGACAAGAGTAACTGGGAGCCCCAAATCTTGGCAGCAAATGAGAGGCGCCAGGCCCCGCCCTGCCATCCCCGTCGGCAAACCATGGCAGCAAAGCACAGGTGAGAGCTGGCGGAGCAGGCGACTGTGCGGTGAATTCATACCCAGTCGGCAGCCCTGGGCTTCGTCGCTTCCTGGGAGACCTCACTTCCTTTTCCTTCGGTTCTGACGCAGATGTGCATGGGGAGCGACCTGCCTAACGTGCAACAGCCAGACACAGGAGACCAGGAGACCCACCGCCCGATGCGGGGAGGGGGGGGCGGGGGGACACACGGCCTTGCTGGGCCGCCAGACAGAGTGGGTCAAGCGCATGGTGCCCAGGTGCTGTGAGTGTCAGACAAGCGGCAAGTAGTTGTTTTAGTATAAGCGTGTCCCAGATATTGCACGGGCCACGGTTACACTCAGGAAAGTGACTCACTGTTTATCGGAAAGTCAAGTTTCGTTGTGCGTCTGTATTTCATCTGGAATCCTACTCCCAGGATGAGACCTACGTCAAAATATTTATGCCCGGGGAACAAGCCAAGCAATGATCACGTGACCTTCCTCGTCGCGATTCAGGGGTGGGAAGACTTGGAGGGAGCCTGCCCTGTGAGCCTGGGCAGGCAGAGGGTCCCCTGGTGGTTGAGTGGGGGTTGTGGAGTCTGGATCCGAGTCCTGCTGCTGTGACTCTCCCGCTGGGTGATCTTGGGGAGTTACCTAACCTCTGTGAGCCTCAGTCTCTCCCCTGTGAAATGGGCACGATGATAGGGCGTTTGAAAATGTCATGATATGCTTCATAGGAAGCACTTAGCAGGCACCAAGCACACGTACCCGAGAATTATTTTGTTAAACTTCGCTCCTATGGAATCCATACCAAACCCTTCAATTGTCTTCAGTTTAAGGGTCAAGATCAGAGTGCCTGTGTCAGAAAAAAACATGGCCCCAGGGCAATGGCACAACCCCAAAGGTTGGGGCCTTTGGCTCTCAAAGTCAGAGAGGTTAACTCGAAAGGCACATGAAAAAGGACAAACCATCTGGTAGAGACAGCATTCCTGGGCTGAGACCCAGGTGGGAGGTACTCCTGACCGACCCCCAGGACACGTCCCACCAGGACCCGTGGCAGATTCCATTCCACAGCTGTCCCCTGATCTCCCCATGGCTCTGAGCGCTGGGCCAGGTTCAAGGTAGGATCAGAACTCTGCCCTCCAGGGCTGATCTGTGGGAGGAGGGAGGAGAGATAAGCCTGAATTCAAATAACGGGAAATCAGGGCAGGGAGGGAGCAACTATTACCTTTTATTCTTTTCATTGAGCAACTATTACTTGCCAGACGCTATTTGCATATGGCATGTCCTTTAATACTGCCCTCAGGACAGCTCTTCAGGCTGTGTGCGGAGGGGATTGCCGCTCAGAGGAGGAGCAGGCACTCCTAGGGAGCGAGGTGGGACCCCAGATTTGCCCAGGGAACAAGGCCAAATTGGGGTCTAGGAGAAGCGGAGGTGTTGGGATTCGCGGCAGGAGGCTCACTGCTCTAAAACCCCAAGGGGCATCCCAACCATCTCCAGGAGAGAAGCCAGAGCCAACCAACCCAATACGGTGGTCACAAGATACACGTGGCTGTTTTCATTTAAACGAATAAAATGTATTATTATTTGAATTTCCATTCCTCAGTCACACTGGCCACTTTTCGAGAGCTCAACGACCACATGTGGCCAGTGGCTGCCTAGTGGGCGGAGCGTGCAGGGCAGCTCCGTGCCCCAGACGGTTCCGTGGGACAGCCCTGCTACTCTAGAGACTAAAGAAAATTTTCTTGAATCCAGAGCAAAATTTTCCAAGACCTTACAGAAAAATATGCCATGGGCCCCAAATGAAAAACTTAACCCTAAGTAAATATTTGGGTTGCTTCAGTCTAAGGACGAAATCCAAGTTCCAGGGTCCCGAGAGGAGGCCAGGGCGCTCGGAGGCTCAGGGTGGGTGGTCTGGATGTTGGTACAGAGCACGGGCCATAGCGCTCCATCCTGAAGGTCCCAGGACTCTAGGGAAGCAATCCAGAGCTCTTGAAATAAAGTACATTTCCATTTCAGCCTTTTTAAAACACCTCTTAGTGACTGTCTGATGAAACGACCGTGTTAAGATGCAGTGGGGACTGTAGGAACCAGGATTCGCCAGCTCCTGGGCACAGGTGTTGACTTTGATGCTAGATGCAAACTGCAAGGCCAGAAACCATATAAGCACCTGGAGTGAGTTGCAACATACATCCCTGCGGAAGGGAAATGAAGGCGAGAAGTATGTTGCCAGAATTACATTTGGTTGCCTATAAGAGAGAACTCAAGTAAGTGACTTAACCAAGGTGAGCCCCTTTCCTTCTCATGTGAAAGACACCTGGAGGGGAACGGGCAGACCGGCACTGACGCCCCTTCTTTGGGAGTCCAGGCTCCTTCTGTTTTTCTGCTTTTCGTTCTTAGCCTGAGACTACACTATTAGGCCTCCTCACCGTCCAAGACGGCTGCTGGAGCTCCAGCCATCATGACTTACTCCAGCAGAAGAAAGGAGCAAGGGTGTCGCCCTGAGAAAAAGGGCCCACTTCTCAGCTGAGTCAGCCCGCCTTTACGGAGCTTACCAAGCAGCCCATGCAATGACTTCCTTCTCCTCACCTCTCAGGACCACTTCTACCTGCAAGGAATCTATATATATATAACAGCCTAAGCGACCAGACGACCAGAATGATGGGAATGACCAGTCAACCAGTCGCTATGATGCGCACTGACCACCAGGGGGCAGCCATTCAATGTAGGAACTGCCCCCTGGTGGTCAGTGTGCTCCCATAGCCAACCTCCTACAGCCAGCCAACCTCCCACGGCCCCTCCCCCTGTCCTTCCCCCCAGCAGCTGGCAGGCCCCTGGCCGACCTGGTCCCGATCGGGACTAGGCAAGATGGCCCCAATAGGCCCTGATCGCCGGCCAGGCCTCGGGACCCCACCCATGCATGAATTTCATGCACTGGGCCTTTAGTCTAGGAATAAAGTCATTTAGCACAGTACCACTCAGAATAAAAGCAGAGTTCTCTTAGGAAGGAGGGAAGGAAGAAGGGTGGGAGGGAGGGAGAGAGGGAGGGAGAGGTGATATTGGCTAGGCACTTAGCAGTTCCAGTTACACATGGCACAGGTCACATAGCATAGCTGCTTTGCCCCAAGCACAGAGGAGCGTGTCAGGAGATTCAGTCTGCTCACTGACACTGCAGGGCACACAGAGGCCACGTGGAGCAATAGGGAGTGGTGCGGAGTGTGGCAACTGGCGGATCCACATCCCATCTGGGAGGCCTCTGCCCCTCCGCCCTGGCGGGTTGCTGGAGCCAGCCCCACTGGTTTCCTTTTTGTCTGTTTGTTGGGGTTTTGGTTTTTTTGTTTTTTAGGAGCATCAATAAATCTAGATGGTAGAAGGTGATCTCTTAATTTTTAAGTGCTGGGTCATCGACTATTTTTTAAAATGTGAACAATAAGAATGGCAAATGTTTTGCATGTTTTGATCCAGAGGAGGCTACGAATTTTTATCTCCTGATGATAGACAGGAAAATACAATACCCTCGTCACATGGCATTATCTTGTGAAAGTGCATCAGTTGTTAAGGGGAGGGGGTAACTAAACATAAGCAGATCCTCCAGCGTGGGCAGAGGTCTGCGATTTGGGTGCTTGCCTCGATAGCAGGCGGAGGGCGCAGGGCTGCCCGCAGGACTGGGGCCCAGGCCACATGGGAGTGAGCAGGAGCCCTGGGCCTCCAATCAGCCTCCCTGTATGGAGTCTCCCAACCTCCCTGCCGGGCTGGGGCTGGGCCATGTGGAGGGTGCTGGGTGTCACACTGCCTCATCTCTCGCGTGCCTTGGGGAAAGGCAAAGCCTGGTCGAGTCTGAGCCTGCCGGCAGCCGGGCCTCTGCCCAGGTTCTGGGTGGATTCCTTTGGGATTGAGCCAGATCTCAAAGTCGGGGTCGGAGATCTTAGAGTCCACATTACGCATAGAAGTTGAAGGTCAGAGGGGCCGACCTTGAAGACAAATTACAGGGAAGGGGGCCCTGAGCCTCAGCCAAAGTGTCAGGCACGGCGCCAAT